TGCCGATTTTGCCGAGCCAGCTGCGTTCATTAAATCGAAGTCGTAATCCGCGACAGTCGTCGATCCGGCACTTTTCTCTAGCGTGCTGGACAGTGACAGCACGCGACCGCAATTTCTCGGAGTGTCAACGACGACGGCATGCCGGGGTTCGATAGGCCTTTCTCCGTTCCCGCTCTTTCTCTCTTTCTCCCTCCCTCTCTCTCTCTCTCTCTCTCTCCCCCGCTCTCTCTTTCTGTCTCTCTCCTTCTCCCGCCGTGTCTTTGTCATCTTTCTCCGTTTCGTTACTCAAGCGCGCGAGTTACTATTACTTAAGACCGCCGGCTGGTTGCGTCGCATATAATAGTTACACTTGCACTTTCGGCTTGCCGCGGCATCAGGCAGTGCTGGATGCAGTAAACTGCAAGCAAAGCGAGTAACAACGGAGAGCATATTACTTTTGTCGAGCTATTGTACCATTGTACTATTGTCTACGTCTACCCTGTAATTTGGAACGCGCGTGTATTCTTTCGTGAATAACAGCTGTGAGAAATTAATCAAATCATAATAATATTTCTCCTGTAAATAACGGTAAAGAGAAATTAATCAAATCGATCGCTATTTGCTGGCGGCTAGTAACTTGAGTCGATATTTGATGTATGATATTTATATGACCACTTTTAGCGTGCTAAATAAGACAGGGATTTTATTCAATCAAAAATATGCACTGAAAAAAACATGATGAATAAGAAGAATGTTTAGAGCATTATCTTTTTTTTTCACCAAATGTATAAATTATTCTTTAATCGTGATTGAAAAAATTTTTATGTTTTGTCGAATCAGGTTTTTGCTGCAGTATCCGGTGCAAAATATCAGCTCGACGAATATAATTAACTTTTGCATATTAATTACCGGTTTATATTGGCATATGTATAAAGATTGCTAGAAAAACTTGGAAATTTTGCAAGAGAACTAAGAATTTCTTACACGCATATATCTTTATAAATAAGAAGTTGTTATCGAAAAATTGCCTATACAAATACCGTTCTTATCGACGATATTAGTGAAAAGCTTAAAATCATTTTCCTCCATATTTGAATGCAATACCTCAAAAAGGTATTGTATCATTTATCCACATGTAGTTCTATATTTATTCAATGTTTCGTTTCTCTTCTCTTAACAACGGCATCAACTGCACCTCTAAACTTATAGAAAGAGAGAAGATAGTCATTGTACAATGAATTCTCCGTAAAACTTATAGCGATCGCGATTATACTTTTGATCGGCGTCGTCGGTATTTCTCGGCTCGCGAATAAAATTTTTAACGAGTGGAATACGAAGACCCGTCTCTTCCTCAACGAATCAATTGTATGCGGAATGACAAGGTACGGGCTGGGTGGTCCTCTGGATCCGTCACTGGCTTCCGTGCGTGAGCCACGTTCGTTAACTTTCCTATACGGTGCCGTTTAACGCGGTCGAGTCCACGAGTACGTATCAACGACGACGATTCGAGCTTGAAGTCACTTTCACGATCGGCGTCCGCAAGATTGGACGCGTTCCAGTGCCGCAGCTACTAATGCCGTCGTCGACGACGACGACAACGACGACGACGACGACGACGACGACGACGACGACGACGACGACGACATTGTCATCCTCGTCGTCATCATCGTCGTCGTTGTGTCACGTCCCGATTTAACCCTTCGCGACACGCGGCTGCCGCGTTTACGCTAGCGCATTATACCGCCCCGCGGTTATCGTAAAAATCATTATGCAACCATAGCAGATAGCGTCCCCGCCGTTTATTTGCGCAAGTAGATAAAGTCGCGGCGACCTCGGTGCGACGCGCCGTCACACACTGTTCCCGCAAAGAATACAGCCGTTGTACACTATCTCGCGTAACTTCTGCACAATACGCGAAGAGAAAAGGCGAGTTTTCGCGCGTCCCAGTGTCATCCGGCGCGGGCAGGTATATCCGGCCGTCTCGGGTCGCTCGGCGACGTTTACGTGGGATATATAGCTCTCACTGGGGGCTGGGCGATAAATCCGTAGGTGATCGTCATTAACACCGCGATTTTATCTTGGACCATAAATAGGCGCGGACAGGTGCGTCTCCGGTTAAATAAAGACGCTGACCTATAGGCGTGTTGGCTGCGTATAATAAAGTAAGGGAAACGACGCGGTCTCGCGTTCTCGAGGAAAAATGAATGAACTCGTGTTGAGTTCATTCGCGCCGAGTTGTCGCGCACACCTCCCCCGTTCTCTTCTCGCCACCTCTTTTAACCTTTTCGACTCGCTCCTCGGAACGAGAATGTAATCGCGGTGGTCCCCGAAGTGGTCCAGCGGACGCGTGATTACGCGAGCATTACGCGAACGTCGAGCGAGATCGGAAGAGATTGCGTCAACTTTGCGTCGTAACGAAAGGAAAATATGAAGTATTACACACACACACACACACACACGCGCACACACAGGACGTGCGTTTAAAGCAAAAGCCAAATGTGCGCGGTGTAAAAAAAAAGACGAAGCAGGCATGATTTACAAGAAGTAGACGTCCGTGAAATGTTACACTCGCAGACACAGCCGAGATTCCTGTTGCTCTCAACTGGAAGTGGTTTGTGAAACAGTTGCGCGAGATCCCCAATATTAGTAGGATGTTAATAAGGTATAGAAGAGAAGAAACGCATCCGTCCATCTCTCTCTTTTCTCTCTCTCTCTCTCTCTCTCTCTCTCTTGCTCTTCCTCTCCTGCCCCCCTGTGCCGTTCTTTCTCTTCCTTACGATTAGATTAAATGACGATTTCAGGTAGTCAGACGGACGACACACGCTTGCGCAGGTGCGACCGATTCCTTGCGTAACGCATACAGCAGACACGCACACGATCCCGGCCTCCGCGGTCCGTTTTCTGTGCCGCATGCGCGCGCGCGCGCGCGCGCGGCTCCGTTATAATGTATACAGTTTTCGCAACATAATCCCGAGGTATTTCGCTTGCTCGGCGCGTTTTCGGCTTTTCGTTTTGCAAGCGGGCAAAACATCTAGCGCGATCGCTCGCGGGAGGACTGTGATCGCGACCTCCATACTCCCGTCCCCGGGCTCCTCCGTATAACGATCTCTTCTCGGTCGCGATCTTCGGCGCCTCGCAACGGAACTCCCCCGGAAAATCTCTCGCGCACGACGGCACAGATTCCGTACGCGATTCCGCACGTGATATCACATAATCGATTGGCCGGCCATGCTCGAGTTGTTCCGAACGGAAGTGAATTTAGGGAATCTAATCGCTTATCTAATCACGGCTGAAGTGGATGTCAGTAATTGAGAAAAGTCCGAGAATTTACTATCTTTATATAAAGATATCGATACTTTCAATCTGCGTTCGGGAGCGAACAATAACGGGAACGCCATCCGATAGATCCACGAATAGATTCGCGCGCGAAATTCTATCGCGAATTTTTTTCATCACGGCGAAATGCGAGTTACCGAATTTTTTGATGACGAACGACTAGTTCGACTATTCCTGTTTGGCAACATAATTAATTTCGCTCTCGGCCCCGAAGCGTAGAAATCGATATTGGTACTTTCTTTATCCGAAATATTTTATGACATTCATACATTTTCAATTTTCAATGTAATGAAAATACTCTATATAGACTGTAGACATTGCAGAGAAATTTGAAAATACTATGAATTTCTTATTGAGATTTTAACGGTAATATTATTGCCAATTGCGAATATTATTATGATCCATTGAGTTAAAACATTAGCGTCAAACCATCAACTTTTATTTGAATTATTTTTTCTTACTTTCTATTATCTTAAAAAAAAATTAAACAAAAGTGTGTTTTCTTTATTTTGATGGCATGTGTACGCTGACGTGTAGCGTAAATAGAGCGATTGATAACTTTGAGCAAGTGGGATACGTCCATCGTTAATTTTTAATTACCAGAAAGTAATTAAAAGGAGTCACTAATAAGGATCACTAATAAATATAAATTTTTATTTTTTGAACGGCTCTCGGGCAAACGTCATTTTTACTATCGTTTCCTCTCTCAGCTGGCGGATTCAAGTCGAATCGACGAGGCTAGGGCCGAGCATAGATTTTCGCAAGTGTCGTGTTTGTCCTCCCCGGAGCTGCGAGTGAAATTCAATTTGCCGTCCGCGTGTACGGCGTACGTTGTACCTACCAGAATGGTTCAAGGCCGCGTCGTCGATTCATGGTCGGTCCGGCGAATTGCGCGACGGCATTGCCCGACCGTGCCGTGCGACCGCTTTCGAATGAAAAATTCGGTGACTGGTACACACGTAAGCCGCACGTCGGAGGACTCGGAATCCCAACGAACTTAAGCCCCCGGCGAGCTGGTCCCGGGATTCCGAACGTACGCGACGATCTCGGCGAGAGATCCCGACTCGTAACGGTCTTGAATTATTGAAGAGTGTCGACAGCGTGATAGTAGATTACCAATCCGAAGCCCGTATACTTGTTTTTGTAATACTTGGCGCGAGGCACTGTTTTGTGTCTCTCGATATACGCGGATTACACAAGATCTCTCTCGGATCCAACTGGACATTTTCATTCACACAATTCTAAAACGCGTGTTTTTCGACGAACTTTTCCTTCCCTTTCGAAGTAATCTCTTCGTCGAACATAGAACGCGAAACCGTAAAATCAAGTTTCAAGTCTGCTTGCTAAATTTCTTGCTAAACACAAACGTTTAAGTGAGGAGAGGCACGTTTCCAAGAACGCTAGCGATCTCAGTTTTTCGCCGGTTCTCGCGAATTCGCGATGCATAAGTCTATTAGATTAGATTAGATTAGATTAGATCAATTATACGTATTTTTCATACAATTGGAAGCAATTGGTATCTCGTTTTTTTCCACTCTTGGATGATTTCTTTTTGTCATTTTTGGAAGAAGCTCTGAAACTGAAAAAAAATTCCGTTAGCGGCACGTCACGAATCGCATTATTGCGATTTTATTTTGTGGGAACCGTTGAACGCCTTCGATAAGGATCTGTTTCTTTCGTTTCAGGAGGAGAGGTGGCAATCGCTTGGTGAGTGCGCGATTGGATAGGTGGTAAAACGACTTTGGACCCCGGATATCCGTCCCACAGACCTGAGGGCAACTGGACACGGCACCATGTCGATCATAATGCAGTACATAGACCGGTTCCACGATATGCTGGATAAACATGCAGGTGATTATTAATTATACCGGCAGTACAAAGTACGCGACTTGGCGAGCGAGGAGGAAATACCTTTACTTGGAATTAATCACGTAATTCCGGGGAAGTAATTTGAATTTGGACGATGGACGGAAAACTCGGTTGTCTCGCAGTATGTCAAGTGTACCCAGTGACATCACCGACATGTTATAATTGACGATTACGTAGTTGCACGATAATTTCGAGAGTCGCGATAGATGAACGTCGCACGCGCGCAGGCATTAGAGTCCTTCGGATTTACATAATTGAACGCGCGGGAAAGAAAAATGTAAATAGCGGGCGGTGATATTGTTGTTAAGCATTGATTCCCATTATCAGATCTTAGAATAATTTCGTACTAAACGTTTTATTAATATTTATTTTTAAACTATGAAACGTCTCTTTAGCATCGTTATTATTTAATTAAGCTGTCAGTAAAGCTTATTTTGATTTTGAGAATATATGCGCTAAAATCTTTTGTTGCATAAATAAACTCACTCGGTTTCACTAATTCTTTCATATCAAAAAATACGAACTTTGCGAGTTTGGTCCGAATTTGGTACGCGAATGTTTTCGCAAAAGCACACGAAAATAAATCGCGGAAAAAGAGGCCTTTTTCTACGGATATTTTTCTTTTACATCCCGCGTAACGATTTTCAAAATATGTGCACGGTACTTTGCGCGTCTCGCGTTGCGCGAAGTGAAGCGGGCGATTGTCGGAGGACTAGCTGTTTCCTTGAGACCGTCACTGTCCCACTTTGAGCGCAACGACGAAATGTCACTTTGATAATCGCGGCGTCGGGTCGTGCGAGTAAAGTGGAGTAATTCTTTATTCCACGTACGGACGGCCGCGGCCGTAGCGTTTGTCGCAACGTGGGCGCCTCTTTTCGCAACTCGCCGGCGGGGTTCGCCGCGTCGAGAGGAGTCGAGACGCCCGACGGACTTTACGGTGTGATTAATCATCTAATAGCGTTTATACCTCATTGTCAGTCGTTTGTTCGGTCAATGAGAACGGTCTGCGTTCACCGATACATCAATTAACGTACTATCGTGATTAGCATGAGAAAACCACGGTGGAATGTAACCGGGGATTGAAAAAAAAGTGCTTCGTTAGCGTCATTAACGTCTCGCGATCGTTCGATTATTCATTCCATCAGTGATTTGCATGCGGAAGGTGCGAACTGCTCGACCTGCGTATAACGCCAGGACTGAAAGCGCTTATAAAGGAAAAAGTGCAATCTGTCGGCTGTCAAACGGCTTCGCGAAGACGCGCGTGTTTCGCTCTCGCCTGATGAAAATGATGAAAACACGCGTATGTACACAAATCGCGAAGACGCAATTCTTTTTTTCTATATGTACACTTTTTTAAAATTAAAATGACGTTACCGATTATGCATTACCAGCAATTTTTCCGCTTAATTTGCAAAAACACTTGCGCACGAGAACGCGCGCTCGTTGGGAAAAAAATAAATTTTATTCATATTTTACTTATTCATATTTTAATTATACGTAAGGCTCTCATGAATGTCAAAATAGTGTCGCTTTATTCAAACACGTTAATCCTTATTCATGTCTTCCGAGCGAATTGCACAATCTTCGTTGCACGTAGATAAAAATCAAACGCGTTCGCCACCGTCCGACGGAGAATCCCAAGGAACGCGCCTACGGAAATACCGATCGTTTATTTTTATTTTATTTTTTCTCGTACGGGGGAAAACCGAGGGGCAAGGGTAATCGAACTCTCGAAGGACGTGAGTGACGAAAAAAGGAACCGCGTATGCACCAGACATCCCTGAAAGGAAGTCACGGGGGGGGAAGAGAGCGGTCCTTCGAGACGATACCGAAGGACGCGTAATTTTTATCGCCGTTAAATCATGGTCACTAGATACGTCGATCGTTCACACGAGAGAGAGAGAGAGAGAGAGGCAGAGAGCGAGAAAGAGAGTGAAGGGGAAGCAAACCGCTTAAGGTCGTTAAACACATGTGTACATTGTTGCATACCGCATTATTTGCGACGAGGTCGTCTCCGATCGTCTCTGGAAAGAATTAATCGCGGATGACAAGAATTTGGATCTGGGCAGCTTTGATTCGTATCTGTCCGTTGCGATCGAAACTTTCTACATTATCGGTATACCATATTTTTCTTACGCACATCAGTACAATATAATCTATATTTTTCTATTATATTCTTCGTCGATTCGTACGGTCGAGAAGTCGAACGTGTAAAATGACGTCGCGTCAAGTTCTGCGGTTTTCCTTGAAAAGAAAAAAAAAAAGATTAAAGAGCTTCGAAGTCACTCCCGCGTGGATCGCTTTGGTGTTCCTTTACAGACACGAGGACGACTAATTGGCTATTGATGAGCTCGCCCTTTCCCACGTTGTTCATCTGCCTCTCCTACGTCTACATCGTCAAGGTGCTCGGGCCGAAGCTCATGGAGAACCGGAAACCCGTCCAGCTTAAGAACACCTTGATAGTCTACAACCTGTTCCAAGTGATCTTCTCCGCATGGCTGTTCTTTGAGGTGAGAACTTGTTGTCCGTTTTCCCCCTCACCCCCCTCCCACCACCCCCGCGATACCGCAACCGTTCAACACGATGAATCAGATGTCTGACAAAAAATTGTGACCGATGAATTTTTCAGGAGACATAAAAAAGTCGGATCGTTCCTGTTTTATTTCAGCCGTTCCTCGACTCGCCGATTTATCACTTGAAGCAAATATTTCGTCTTTACTGTAATACAACTTTCAGAATTTCAGAAAGAAGCTTGCCGCAAATATTTAAACGAATCAGATGTTTGAACAAATTTTGCCCGATGAATTTGGGTTTTTTTTCTCCTTTCGAAGGTTTCTTTTTTTGTACGTTTGATTGTTTCGCGCTCACGCATATAATTCGGCACAGAATCGCATAAAATATTTTACGATTCGCGGACTTTCTTGAGTATCCGTTAATGAATTCGTAATTACCCGCGCATGTTTTCGTCGAATTCTCTCTTCTCTCCGTTTACATCCGATTCGAAGATTCATTAGCTAATCCCAGGCCGAAGCTTCCGAGGGGCTCACGATCGGTCTGACGGCACGCGGTATTCGCCGCGACACGGTCGAAAACGGATAATAACGATCTTGGGATACGATACGCTGCTATTTACAATTGCGCGATCTAACGATTCCGTGATTTTACCGCTGGCAGCCACCGGAACGCGTAGCGGCGCGACGTCCAGCGAAAACTTTCTATCTTAACAGTCGCGATTACGTTCGATTACATTGCCCGCAAACGAATATACGTTTGTCATTGGTGGTCATTCCCCGGCTGAGTTTATGTCTCGTGACTATACGAAAAAAAAAGAAAACAGTCTCTAATCAAGAGCTCTTCGATGTCTTTAGACGTGATTATTGGAATTTGCAAAAGTACATTACGATATCGAAGATACTTTTATACTGGTGTACATTTTTTTTATATATGTAATCCGCTTATTACACTTCGTATACGAGTTCTCTTGTACCTGTCGCGACAAGAATTGAGCAACGAGAGTTGCGTTTGCGACTTCTCGACGAACGATCTCGCGCCGCGGGAACGCGCCAATGGCAAAAGATGTGCGGAGCACGATTGTACGTTTCTTTCGCAACGCAGTGCCTGATGGGCGGATGGTGGGACCAGTATAGTTTCCGCTGCCAGCCGGTGGACTATTCCAACAGCCCCACCGCGATAAGGGTAAGTGCGCCTAATCGATTTAATCCTAGCCGGACCGCCCGAACGAGACTGTCTCCCAACTACCTCAACGAAAACGAAAACAAAAATCGCAACAGAAATCACCGAACTGCATCCGGGTCCGCTGACGAATCATGAACGAAGGAATATTCATTTTATAAATACCTTATTTTTGTAGATAGGCCGTTCCTTTACTCGGAGCGGAGGCTTGCGGCGGCAGGGCGGGAGGGGGGGAGCGCAATATTCGCGGAGGCGTGCGATTTAGAGGCGTACAGCTTACGCTTTCCTTTTCATTTAGCATAAGAAGCCTGGCATGTCCCTCGAGCGTCTCGATCCGATCTTTCTCCGCTTCGAAAAATCCGCTACCTCGGCTCTCGATGAAGAATCAAACGCCGACAAATGTCGATCAGCTGAGTATTGAACGCGCGTCACATCTCCATCGGGAAAAAAGTTTGCAGTTGTAAACTCGCGCGTCTTTTGGCCTCTAACTGATTTATCGAGGATGACAAACCCTCTTTGCGACCGGGGAGAATCTTTGGGTTTCTTTCGCCGAAGCAACCCCCTTTTTCTTCCATCCACTTGCAACAATTTTTTTCCCGTTGAAGATGCGAGGCGCGCCGATTGCTCAACATTCGACTCGTGCGAGAGTTCGACGCAAACACCTCGAATCTATCTACAAGCAGAGGGTAGTCTTGTTAAGCTTATACGCAATTATTATCCGTCTACCCAGTATTATATGCCTATTTTCTTTGTCCCTTTATTGATTGATGGCGAATGGCCTCTGGGCGAATGTGGTTGCAGATAGGGAATTCCGGATGGCTGACTGGAGACTATTCTCTAAGATGTCAACCTGTAAACTACAGCGACAAACCTGAAGTGCTGAGGGTGGGTGATCTTCCGTGATTAACCGAGTTATCTCCTTGCCACTTGATCTCTGTCTCTGTTCGCGTTTGTGTCTAACTTAACGAATGTGCTTTGCAAAACCGATCAATTGATTCGAGATTTGAACGAGAGAAAGATGCGATTCTTTTTTCCGCATTCGATTTCTCTCTCGATAACGGCCGGTTTTGTGTTACGATCATGTTCTATCTACGTTCGTATACGCCAAACGTAGCATAGTACGTAGAGCTGTGAACTTGGTAGAGTTCGCGACCGATTAGAATGAGTCTAACTGTAGTTTAGCGGTCTGTGTGTGATTAACCCTATTTAACATACGCTATGTGTCATTGTATCTTTAGAAAAAAACGGTATTGTACCGTGGAGTCTCATGTAGAATCTCGCATTTACGAGCTATAGCGCATTAATTTATGTCATCGCACCCATACGTACTGTGACGCACTTCGATGTCAGTGACATTTTACACGGATTCCTGAACGTCTCTCTCGAATATATACCACCGTGACACACATCGATGTGTATATTCCTATACGAAAAACGCTTTTGATATACGCACTCCTGTGGAAACTGGTTTTTAAAAACACTTAATAAGCGCGTTTATGCTCTTTCCCATCCATTCCCTTTCTTATTGTGTTTATGTTAATAAGATAATTGTGTGCGTTGAGTCAGTTTGCTTTTACAAATTGTTATATTAATGTAACACGCACATTCCTTTCCTCTCCCTCCCTCCTCTTCCTTCTCGCTCCCCCTCTATCTGTTTAAATGAAACTAATTTTTTAATTCACTTGTAATTACAATATATATATATATATATATGTATATATATATGTATATATATATATATAATGAATGTTTAAAACTATTTAAGTGTCTAACAGAGATCGAAAGCAAGAATCCTGATATTCCTATTTTCGATAGGAGTGTAAAAAGAAAGTCTCACGTTTGTGGATAAAATGTTTCGTGTAAAGTCAAAGAAAGTATATAAAGTCGACCCAAGTAAGGGGCGATCAAGAAGCTTCTTCTAATCGATATTTCGAAATCGCAGATGGTCCACGCAAGCTGGTGGTATTACTTCTCGAAATTTACCGAATTCATGGACACGGTACGTAGAGTGGTACTAAACGTTTCCCTCTTTTGGGACGCGCGATTTGTACATTTCACGCGGATTAATCGTGCGCATCTTCTTCCAGATCTTTTTCGTGCTAAGAAAGAAGAATAATCACGTGTCCACGCTGCATGTGATCCATCACGGTTGCATGCCCATGTCGGTTTGGTTCGGTGTCAAGTTCACGCCAGGTAGGTAGAAAATTGTTTACGCAATTCCTTACGTATATATTGATTCGTTGCAGAAACTCGGCCGATTTTGCAAAACTTAATTTGTGTCAATGTCGCGAGAGCGGATCCTTCGCGTTGCCCTCGGCTGAGAGCTTTCCTTATACATATAGATCGATTGTTTCGAAAACACGAGTTGCGGTGACCAAATTTTTTCTTTGTGAGATCGCAAAAGAATTTGTTTGTCTTGTTTTATCACACGCATACCATTGCTATGAAGCCTATTGTTTGACACACACATTTGGAATTTAAATATTCTGCTTCTCGGAAACAATAATAATTTTTTGTTGCTAAACCGCAAATTCGTCTTATTTTTGTATAGCAATTATTTGCTGAAAGATACATATCTTCGATTATGGAATACTGACCATAATACTTGAATGTTAATTAATTTCCTTGACTGACTCACACCCCTTTTTTGTAATGGATTGTGTATAAATGATTTTGAAAAGGCAGTATTTCTTTTTTATGTCGAGCCTTGGACAATCGGAAACTATGAACGAACTACGAATACAATTTCATGCTAATTCCTATTCATGGTCAATCTTTCAGGCGGCCACTCGACCTTCTTCGGTTTGTTGAACACCTTCGTCCATATCGTGATGTACACGTATTATCTTCTGGCGGCGATGGGTCCAAAGATTCAGCCGTTCCTCTGGTGGAAGAAGTACCTGACCGCCTTCCAGATGCTGCAATTCATCGCCATCATGGTCCACGCCTTCCAGTTGCTCTTCATCGAGTGCAACTATCCCAAGGCGTTCGTCTGGTGGATCGGCCTGCACGCCGTCATGTTCCTCTTCCTGTTCAAGGAATTCTATCAGCGGAGCTACCAAGAGAAGAGGCCCAGGAAGTCGAACGGCGCGGCGTTGACGAACGGCGTCGCCAAGGGCGATCACCATCAGTCGAAGGACAAGCACGCGAACGGCGTCGCGAACGGCGCCGCGAACGGGATCGCGAACGGCGTCGCCAACGGCGTCGCGAACGGCTCCTCGCCCAGGAGGAGGGATGCCGCAGATTATTACGTGAAAGGCGAAAGCCTAGCGACGGAGCTTAATCTCCGAAAACCGTTCGCGACGAAAGTCGAGTGACCCTCGAGCGAGCGCATAGCCTAGTCGATCTTCTCTCGCCACGACGTCGTGTTTTTCTTTTTCTTCCGCGGAATCGCCGAAGGATTACCGGGCCTTCCACCCTCTGTCCCTTCCTTCCCTTTCTTTATCCTTAATTTGCTGTATCATTAAAAAAAAAAAAAAACACGAAGGGTCGAAGGTCCGCCGAGATCGACGCATCTATCGAAAAAGAAGAAAAAAAAAGAGTACAAAATTACGTCGCACGTATTTTCGGCTCGCGGTATATACAGCGTCGATGTACTTTTTTTTATCGACGATACCTTCACACGAGCGCGACGGTTCTCCAGCTAGATCCGGGACAGTCGCGCGCGACCGTATTCCGGCGACTGACGCAGAAGGATGCTCGGGCGGATCGTATCCTGATATACTCCCGCGATCGCAGACAAAAAACGGGGAAAAATCGAGCGATTCACATCAGACTACGATACGCTCGGATGTTGAATAATTGTGCGGTTTTCAGTGACCTTGACGATTATAATTCATGCCACTTACGAGATAAACGGTTCTCACTGCGGGCGACCGGTTCACGGGCGTCGACTTTGTCTGGCGATCAGGTCGCGATCGTGGAAAAAAAGACAGCTATAGAGTCGTTCTGGAAACGACGTAGACTAAATTATAAGATTTATAATTTAAGATACAATTTCTGAATCCCTCAAAGAGACCCATGACATTTATACAGCATACATTATCCTTTTCTGGCTTGCCTTTGATGACGCTCATATAATTATAATCGCGCATGAGTAACAAACAAACCGCTTCGGTAAAACTAGTTTAAAGGAAAGATCCGGGGAAGAACCGGTCTAATAATTAAAAGTAAGAAACGGAAAGGTGCATCCAGGTAGCCGGAGATCCGGATTCCACGACCAGAGCGAATCACCGGGACATTCCTTATTGGTCGCTTTCGTAATTAGATGATTCATTTTCGATTCTGCCTCTTCACGCGACGTGATGCGACGCGGGAAATTTTCCCTCCGCTTTGGTAAAAATAAACTCCGTCAAGGCTTCACGATCGCGCGCGGTCTCTCGAAAATCGCGGACTTTGCTAGGCGACGTGACCCCGGCGTTATGTAAAGGATGGAATTACGCGGACGTAGATAACGGTAAATCACAATAGCAATTTGGCGCGGTACTGTTACGCAATTAAGCTGAGAAATCTTTTCGTTTGCATTTCGACGACTCGCCACCGTAGTAGCATGCATGAATTCGGGTGACCTTAGCCGACCGAGCCGCGGACTTTGACGCGAAATTTCTCGATTATGTACAAGCGCGAAAGGACAGCTAGAATCGAAGTTCGACGAAAATCACGATCTTTGACCAAACGATCGATCTCACAAAGCGCACCCAGATAGCACAGAGAATGAAAAAAGAACTCAGTTACCTATATGTCACTAATTCTGAGTTTATTTTCAGATGCAAAAAAAATTCTTTTTCTAAAAGGGATTCTTTTTGCACCTGAAAATGAACTCAGAATTGATGACATAAAATTGAATACACTAATGAATTCTTTTGGGCTCTGTGTGCTATCTGGGCACATTATTGTCAATATTTATTCCTCCAAAAAAAAAAATATATATATAGTTTTAGAATTGTAATTTATTATATATATAATTTTGATTATATAGAAAATCAAAGATCTTAAAATTGAAATGTTTATTGGATCGCTTAAATGATTCAGTCTAGTTCTATTCTTATTGATTCGTGAAGACTACCATCGAGAGTTGACCGTCCGAGTCTCAAGCATCAGTGCGGGAGCAGGAAGGATACGATCGCGCCGGTGTGCCTTGGGAAGACAGGCGTGCCTTTTGCTCAATACTTAAAGCTCAAAAGCATCGGTTCGAAATGCCAGTAACCGACCTCTGTGATCGTGCATACGTCGACTCGCGAGAGGGACTCTCGACATCCCCCTTTCCTTCGCGCGCCCAGCAGCAGCCATCACGCCGACGTCCAGCCCCGGGCGTCGCGACACCCTTCCACATCGCGGACGTGCAGACGCCCGTCGCGGATGCTCGCCGTCTCGGTTGTACTATTTAACGCGTGTGAACGCGCGCGGGAAGCGTGCGAGGACTTCGCGTTCGCGTTCATTAGCTCCTTCGGCTGACAGAGGGTTGAACACCGCGAGTCTTCCTCCGTTCGGCAGCCGGACTGCGCCCGAAAAAAATCTTGGATCGATGAATTTGAATGGGCGGCGATATCGTTATTTAATATCGGACGACAAGATTGCGATCAAAGTTTAAAGTGAAAAATAAAAAAAGATAAATGAAATGAAAAATATCTACCTTTGGTAGATGCTTGCAAAACCGGAAATATCTTATCTCAAGTGTCCATCGGGAAGATTCGGAAATCGTAGTTTCGCGTAATTAAATAAATTCTTATTTAATTCTAGCTTATTTCTAGTCGCGGTTAAAATTACGGACGAAGAAAAATATGTACATAGATGGCTAATGCCTGTTGTCTAATTTCCTGCTTTTAACTTTTTTTTTTACTGTCTACTTATTACTGACTACTTCAAGTATTATCGGCCTTTATGTTCTCCCCGAAAGCTGAAGTCAACTAAAACCGCGACAGTCGGCACGCTATCTATCTCGCTCGCTTCGCGCGCGTCTCTTGTATGTAATACATAGCGTCTTGTACATATATAGGTAGGTTAGTTTTATATACTACTAAAGAGAAGTCCGAGGAGTGCGACGGCCGTGCCACACTTCGAGGCGATTGAAAAAAAAAATTAAAAAAAAAAAGTTCAGGGGCTAATTTATATAAATCCACATGTGTATATGTATAAGAGGCGGGAGAGCTGTATAAAATCGCACGTTGGGGTGCATGACCCTTATAGTTGCGGCTTACGTACATAAGGTAAAAAAAGAAAAGTCAAGTGGGCGCCTTGAATTTTCGACTTCTCGGAATCCCCGCGATTACTGCCCTTCTCACTTGTGAACGTTCTCGAGTCTTGCGATTCGAATAATGTAGGATCGCAGCAAATGTAACCGAAGAGCTTGTTCCCAAGCTGGGAAAATGTTCTTAATCCATATTTTTTCTCCATCTCAAACAAACGACAGACGAATAACTTTTGCACGTTTACTCGCGTCATTTAACGATGGAAGAGAAATAAGCGTCGAAGGAATTTAACTTTACTCGAGCTACATTGGTAATGAACTTGTCGACTGCGATCTGTCATGCGTGACTCGCAATAATTGATACGTATACCATACATGAGCGTTCGCGAGATTATATATATAAAAAAAATTTGGAATTCCATGAATTCAGAATATTTCAGCTTGAAAGGATTGGAACCCGTCGACTGCTGATTTTTTTAATTAGATATCAATCAATGTACGATCGTTGGAGCGATGAAAAGTGCTAAATTCGCGCGTACGGTAGAAAAGAAATACATGGACAATCCGAATTTTTTTTCTCTCACCCGGCCGAGAACTTGAAGTTGTTTTGTTGCAAGTGGCTCGCCGCGGTGGGACGCCGAAAGCAAGAATTACAGGCGTGCGCCGCCAATGTCTCGATAGTCAGCGATATGTGAAAATTCCAAGTGCTCTTACATCGAATTTTTACGTCGTACTGTAACTGAAATTTATTAATCAACAAAATTGGTTAACGTGTATTACGTGATGTATTTTTGCGAAAAATATAAGTCTATTTACTATGCCCGTGTACTCGTGAGTCATTACCCTTGAGGTTTGATATAAAAGTATATATGTGCAAAAATTCTTCGGACACTTAACAATATCATAATTGGCGAGAGACTACAAGATAAAGTCATTTGCTCTTTTGTATCATGTATAACAATAAATTGTAACGCTGCAACCAATCCTTAAAAGACACGCCGTCCACGGTCGTTTCGTCGAGCGCCATCGCCTCCTGCACGTCTTGATTCGTCCTAAAAAAATGTAATTAAAGTTACAACCGCATCAACTATTTTCAACTGCTATTTCCACGAATTAGAATTTACCAAGCGTTTAGGACCGCGTTAAAGTGCTTGATCTCCTCACGCGCCTGATCGCAAACGACTTTGGTGAGGTTCAGCAGCTCCAGGCTGTTATAATCACATTTTTCTCGCGGCGGCATTAACTTATTCGCGCACTCAATATCCTCCGTTAAAGTGGAAGTGTGCTTCGTGTAAACTATATTGGCAATCGCGTTTCTATAGCATTCTACGAGAGAGTATAACGGTATTTGTATTGTCGGGAAGTAAGGCTTGATCCTCGAGCATTGCGGATTGACCGTGGTGATGGAGGCTTTGTCGAGACCACACACTGCGTGTCTGTAAGAAAATTTATGTATGATAACTCTGAAATATTCAACGCAAAATTCAATCGTAAGACGAGATTTTACGAGAATCGTACGACGTAAGATTTTACCGACCTGTACACTCCGACATCTCCCTTCAACATTATTTTTCGTAAAGCGTTGAGATCCAAGATATTGTAAAACATATCCAGCTCGATGTCCAGCGCATTATTCACGCATTTCGCGTCGTAATTGTCAGTCTGCAATGCCGATATCCTCTGCAATTCGTAATGTAGCTTCTCTTTCTCTTTAAATATGAGCGTCGGCGTAGAGTTTAAAACTGCTATGGACTGCTGAATGTCCTTTACGTAATTGTCCTGCAATATACTCGAATATTAGTATCGAAAGAATGAGAGTGGAGTGCGAAATGTGTAACCGTACCATCTGTGCGTCAATCGTCTCTATGTCGGCCGTTAATCGAGCTATGTCGAGATTGATCAGGGAATTCTCCTGGATGATGTTCTTCAATTTCTGAACTTCGTCTTGCAGGTACGTCTGTTCGGCTTCTAATTTTCTCACCTCCAACTTTAAAGCTAGCCACATGCTCACATTTTCCTGAGATAACGACTGCAAGACAAGGTGGTACGTTAATTCTAATCAAATGTGCTTGTTGTTAATTATATTTTTTCTTGTCCGGTTTGATGCCTCAAGAGAGACTCTTACACGCTTACCTCTATTAGATCTATAAATTCCATTAAACGTTGCTGGTACATGTCAGCTTTAGCATTAGACAACACGCGTTTCGATATTATGCATATGTATTGGCCGCATGCTCTTGCGATACCAATATCTATATTTTCGCCTACTACCCTCGGACTGTCCGAGTCGTTCTTGGTCTCCAATTTCATTAACGTGCTCAAATCTTGCGACAGCGTTTGGTACAAGTGTGTCCATAGAGTGTGTACGTCAATACCACCAAGAGAGCTTGATACCTTTGTCCACACCTGTTGTTAGAAAATGTCACTTTCGGTATTATATGTAAAGTATTATTTTGATAATCGTTTTTATAATGTTCTGTAAAAAGTACCTGTTTCTTATCAGTGGCCGAACGACGCAGGTCTGCTATTACATTTAGATTCTCCCTCAATCTCTGTTGATCTATGTCCTTACAGGTGTTTGGCATCAGATGCTGGCACACTCGTCTCATGTCACCGCAATCTTTCAGTTGCTTGCTGGTTTCGCTGTGTTTCAGTTTGAGAAGCTCCTTTCTTATGTTGATCATCGAACACCTGTTCTTTATATCCTTCAACCGTTGCACTAACAATTTGAAATGTATCAGAACTCTGTGAAAACATCCTCAAAGTCAACGCGTGCTCGTAATCTTACTTTTTTGCCTGACAGCATGATCCTGCTCCTCATATTCCTCGTCCAGCGTGGATATCTGTTGTTTCAGTGCGTTGCTCTTGGGTCTCAATTGATTCAAATCCCTCACGGATGAAATTGCAGAATCGTTCAATCCATGCTTCAGTTTGTACAGTAAAATGTTTTTTCTTAATTTACACGCTTCAGCTGTGGGAAACGCACAATTGGAAATGTCCTCCCACAGGAGCTCCAGCACTCCTTTGCACAATCTGAATGGAAATGAAAATTAGGCAAGATGAGAAAACAGCGAATTTCAATAAATATATATAGATAAAAAAAAAAGTAGTGGACAAACATTTTCTTCACTGATTCGTTGTATACTGTCGGTGGGCACTCAAGCTGGCGAGCCCAAGCAAAAGTATCTGCAACCTCGTTCATGATTTCGTTCCTAAGAAAATACAATGAATCCATAAATGGCACATCATATTTTTACCTAATAGTAAAAAGGTATTTACAAGTGGTAATATTTAACACAGGTGATATAGGTAGAATTATCAGATAGATGAGACAAAATTATTAGATCATAAAAGTGATTAGTTTTCTAATTCGCAAAAAATTATGATCTTGTAACATATCCTTTGATATCATGCAATATATATTTATTAAAGAAATCTTTAACAAAGATAAATAAACCTGAAGCATGTTTCTGATACGCGAAAATTAAACCCATCTCATCGATATTGTATGAGACATTAAATCTTCGTGCAATTGACACCAAAGGAAAGAAGCAAATTTATTTATTACCGGCAAGTTTTCTTGTCATTTAACTCCAATTGACAGCGCGTTGTTTTCCCTCGTAGGATCGTAACGTATTTGAACTCTTTTCATTCCGAGATCCGTTTGCTTCACATGCACTGCCTCGCGTCTGAGAACGAGACGGACGTACGTTCGTGCATCGATGAGAGAAAGAGAACGAGAAAACACGAGTGCAGTAGGTGCAGGTGAGAGTGTGAGACAAACGTATCCCTCGAATTGGCTTTCCGGAATTCAGTGATGCCAATCACACGCACACAAAAGATCTACGAGTAGAAATCCCCACGCTATCGACCAAGCCGCGCGCTTCGGAAAACATCTGGCATTCGTGACGTCAGATGGCGCCAGCGACACGTTTGGCGTTTCCGCTTTCACGGCAGTCATGGACGTCGGCGTCACGGCTCTAACTTCAACAGGTTCGCGCGAAAGAGTCGTTTTTCGCTCCCGTTCATCGCGAATTTTTATAACGCGCGTGTGTTTTACGTTGAAAGGCATCGCATCGCCGTCGCATCGCCTTCGGTTCAGGGACGAATCTACGGCCGTGTAGACATGCCAGAGATCCGTAAGTTTATCAAAGTTTTCCATATATTAGATGTATGTATAGCGTTCGAAATAATGGACGATACATTACACGGGCTCGGATACCTTGAGATTTCCTACGATAAATTATGACGATTGAAGTGCACCAGGGCATTAATGCACGCGTTAGCGAATGATTAATTATGCTTAACAACTGCGATGCGCACACTTTGCGCGGGATTAAAGCTATTATGTGCCAGATGCGAACCATATATATATACATATTACTTATATATATCGCTTAAATTCCAAGCGTAAACGTGGAATTTCGAACTTCAATGTGGCAACGTTAGAGAAATTAAGAATTTAAAATCTGACAGAGACGCGCCACTTCGAATTTTATATATACCGAGAAAATCGAAATTTTGTATTTCTCATGCATATATTAATATAAATTTTGCATGAGATCGATCATCCGAAATTTATAAAAACAATCGTAATACTTGAAAGATTCACGTCAATATACTTTATATACACATACTTTGTAGGAACTTTAAAATGTATTAATTTTAATGAACATTTAAAAAATTAAATTTTAATTTAAAAAAATATATAATTGCATGTAACAAGAAGCGTATTTTGAAAGACATGTTGCCGAATTGCCAGTTTCTACCATGTATTTTCCTATAATATTATTCTAAGAATTAACGTAAAATTGACTCTTCTATTCTGCGCGGAACAAGACAATTTCTTGGAATTCTCTCTCTTTCTTCCTTCTCCCTCTATTTCTTTGAGCCTGTTACTGATTATATTGTCACCACTAACCATACAGAGGCCAGTGTGCAAACCTCCGCCTTTGGAAGCAGCTTTCAGAATTACGGGGCGGAATTAAAGGTACAATCACGTCGGGCTACGATTGCGAATTAAATTGTACGGAATAATAAGTCAAGATATTTCCCCTGTCGAGACATCAAACGTTCGACACGCCGCGTTTTCTCTGTCAAAAGTAAAATCATCACAAAATAAAGTGCATCGAGACTCAAAGAAGGTATAACGACGAAAGGCAGGATTTTAAATCGATCCGAGAAAAGGGACTCCCATGTAGCTACCCACGCGGCGAGAGACTCTCCTCTCGCTCTCTCGCCGCCTATCTAACGTTTCATCTAACGTGCTTTTTCTTTTTTATATACGAAATCGCGTCCTACTCGCGAAGGCAACATCGCGAAGGCGGGGCTCGTGATTATAAAGAAGCACCGCGTTGCGGCGATAAGAAATGCCATTGCGCGAGAAACGGCGAGAAAGAAAGAGAGAGGGGTTGGGGGGGGGAGAGAGGGGGTAAAAAGAGGGAGAGACAGGAGGAGAGACGGTTTGTGCGAGGGTGCGAGGATGTCCGGAGACCACCCGTTGCAGCAGCGGGCTGCGAGGGTGGTCTGACGTAACGTCGCGTTACGTCAGACCGTGCTATAGAGCGCCAGAGGGATGGCGATGGCGCGCGTGGGGGTAGACATGGGCGCGGGGTCCACGGGGTCAGGTCGGAGGGGACCGGTACGTCAATAGGAGAATCCCTCGGCCGCCGGGTAGGGAAACGAACCCCCGAGTGGGGAGCAGCTCGTGAAAGCTCGCAGCCGAGGGACGCGGAAGGGGTAAGCCGCCCCGATGCTCTGCCCCACTCCTCCCTCGCCTACCCCTTTCCTCGCTCTACCCTTTTAAAATATGTGACTTCCGGTAACGCACAATTTCCGCGATCGTAACGTTGGAGTTGGAGCGGCTTGGGGTAGGGGGAGGGGGGAGAGGGTCGCCCGAAGAGTCGCTTCCTACGTTTGAGGGTCAGTTGTTTTCTTCCGAAGGAAAGCAATCGCTTCCTGACTTTAGTACGTTAATACCCGTGGAATCGGGTTAGCCATAAATATTAGTTAGAGGTAATGGGGTATCGAGGTGACAAACACAGAAAGGCCAAGCAGAATGGCTGATGTTTACGGAGACGGCTGCATAGAGAGGCGTCGTCGTTAATTCTCCGCTCTCTAAAATTATCCCCCTCGATCTGCGACCTGCAGCTCAGAGTCACGCGGTATACGGTATCACGACGACGCGACGGTGACGTGGAGATCGAACGGTATATAGATTCAGGAGGATCGGTAGCTCAATCGAGCTCGAACTCGATACCTGGGAGGGGGGGGGGCTATCTCGCGCCGCGGGGATACAAACATCCCTAATTTCGTAGCACGACGACCGTCACGTGATGCACGCGACCGCCCCCGCGACGGTTTCGATATATGCATGATTTAGTGGTGTGGCGCTTGCCGCGCGGGATAGAGACGGCATTCTGTCCATTCACCTATCGGGCCGTGTCAGACACATCGCTCTAGGCATCGGGCGTTTAGATACCATAAGTAGTCTGTGGCTACCATTGAGCCTCGTTTGAAACGGCGGCGGTGGAGGAGGGGAACGGGAGAGGGACGCGCGATAGGTAGGGAAAACAGCGGCAGGAGAAAGGGTATATAATTCCTCGCAGGGGTGGCGGTCAGTGACGTACGACAACAATGCCGACGTTATCGTCGATCGACCGAATACAGAGGGGGTGGGGTCGGGGAAACGCAGCGTGACGGTGTGGTAACGGCCGCAAAAACTGCCGCATGAAACACGGCACTTACAAATTTCCACGAGGCCCCGGCGTTAATAAGGGCTGTCGTAACTTTGACGGCTCACTCCGACTTGGTGCCATGCACGGAGGCGAAATGTATAGCGCAACGCTCTCTCTGCAATAATATATATACGCAGAAATGCGAGCGAAAAGCTGCCGGATTAATTTGTATTTACGGCATAAACATTAATTTGTTATATACCCCACGCGACGTATCGGATGTCGTGAAAAATTGATATCTTATGAATTACATATGTACATCCGACTACGCGAGCTTACACGAGCTTACACGAGCAATAAATTACACGCAGCTAAATTATATCCCCCGTGTACGTTCGTTAACTTTACGCCCACAATTTCATGGAGACGTAAATATCAACTAATTTAATTATAATTCTCTGTAAAGCGATATTCCGACTACGTTACTGGCCTCCATCCGGCGAGGAGTGGGTTGTCATAATTTCAAGGGCGTCGCAAGTAACCGGGGTGTCGCGCGACAATACCGAGAAACGTTCACCGAGTGAAACTTGGAAAGGTTGTAACTTGGCGTAACTTCTTCGTACTTCAATGTACAATGTGAGTTCATTAAAAGTAAATAGTCATGCTTCGTAATAGACTCCGTAATGTTTCGTGAAACACGTAAGGATTGCCGTGGAATTGTAGCGGCACGGAACCTTGCGGCAGAATTCCGTCACTGCGATTTTCCGAGCGGAGAATAAAGGGGTGGTACGTTAGGGGCGTCTCGATCGCGTGGAGAAACTCGGGGTTGGCCGAGCTTAACAGAAGGAGCGAGAATATTTTGATGATAAAGGTGTCATCAAAATATTTGACGACAACTTTGTCTTTATATAGTATCGCGGTTCTTAAGCTCATTGAAATTAATATTTTTCACGTATTATATTAATCGATGTAATGCATATAAAACTCTAATAATATATAAATTCTGTTCTGTTTATTCTCAATTTTTATAAATTATCAAAAAGGTAGCATCTTCACGATTTTTCCGAAAAAAAACTCGCGATCCTTTCAAGTGTTACATATTTTAATTAACAAAGAAGATAGATAATAATAAAAATAAAAATATGTGCGTGCCGGTTTACGAATAAGTTAAAGTGACAAAAATAGCCTGGAATTTGATGTTAATAATAGAAAATAAAAGCAGGCGAACACGCACATCTTGACGAAGGGGGTAGGAGTCGAATCATTGGGAGACGTCACTGTTCGGCGGGGTGGCGCGTCAAGGGCGAGCGGCGTCCCTAGTGGGGATACCTTCGGCGGGTAGGGGCGCGTCGCGGCCGACCGGGGCGCAAGAGGGAGGTGGCAGCGTGAGAGGCAGAGAGTGTAACCCCACGGTCGCACCGCCACCCGTACGTCGTCGTACTTAAAATATGACTCGGGTTAGAGCGCACACGGGGTAGTCGTGCGAGTGTAGAGATATTAGCCGTGTGCACCGGGAGTATATTATCCGTATTAGTTTTAGGCAAAGATAATAGTGAGTAAGGGTTGTTGGTCCGAGGGGGCGTGCAACGGGGTCTCCATCGAGAGAAAGACAGGGAGAGAAAGAGAGATAGGAAGATAAGGAGAGAGAACGAGGAACGGAGCAGACGAGCCTGCACAAGAGAGGAAAATCAACCAACGAGAGACGGACGGATGATACGGGGGTGAAATCAGGACGCTCTCGATCGCCGGCCCCAGCGAACGTGCGAAACGCGAAGCCGTGCAGTTTCGGGGACCGCCGTTGCGAACGAATACATATCATTTTATCCTAGTTGCAGAGAGAGAGAGAGTGTGTGTGTGTGTGTGTGTGTGTGTGTATGTGAGTGAGAGAGAGAGAGAGAAAGAGAGATAGATAGAAGGAAAAAGAGGGAGAGAAAGAAGAGAGTCGGAAGCGAGAGGGCGGAGGGTGGAGAAAGAACGACGCGACCAGAGGTTGTCCAGCGAACGGAGGTTGTCGCGAACCAGTGAGTTTAACGAAGGTAGATGGAGAAAAAGAGGGAGAAAGAGAGAAGAAGAAACGTCGTGAATTCTATTGAGATGCGTGCACAGAGATATATATAAATATAGATAAATGGATAGATAGATAGATAGATAGATATATGTATACACATGCGCAACGCGAAACGTGTGTGAGTGTACTTGGCTTGATCGTCATCGTCGTCAACGTTATTTTCATCGTCATCGTGAACGCGTCCTCTTCCGGTCCGAAGCTTTTGGGACAGTGAGATTTTCTTGGAGAAGTTCCCCGAAAGAGAGAGAAAGAAAGAGAAAAGAGAAAGAGGGAGAGAGAGAGAGAGAGAGAGGGAGAGGGAGATACAAAGAGAAATTCCCTCCCGCGGATGATCGCTCGTGAGCAGCTACGTGTCGCCGTCGCCGTCGCCGTCGTCGTCCGTCGTGCATATCTTTTCTCGTGAACTGTGATTCTTTGTGCCGCTCTCGTCGAGGGAGGTGGAGGAACAGTGATCTCTACGACGGGACGGGATAAGACAGACAGGCAGGGTAAGTGGAATTTATCCTCCTCTGGTACGCGCGCGACCCCGACTGGTCGTTTTTACTCGCGCGACACACAGAGCGGAAGGTTAATTAGGCAGTTAGGGCCGGTTAAATTAAAGCCCATCGATAACCGGAAACCGAGGTAATGAGCTGACTCGGCTCGTCTATCCCGCAAGTTTATATCTCGATTTACATCCCTCATTCTTGGATATCAAGTCTCTCATCTGTCTGAAAACCAGTCCGCTATGATTCCTATAAATTGTGCAAATTATATCTTTGTATATCTCTTCTAATCTATTAATACTGTCGTCATTTAATTTTAAAAGCTGTGTTAGATCATACGACGGAGCACGAAGTGCTTAATTTTCTATGGTATTTATAAAATCCATCGTATTTAGTTTATATTGCCGCAAAATTGAAAGTTCATTTTCCTTAAGTTAAGTAAGAAAGTTTCGCCAGACTTAATTCTCTTAAGTACTGACAGATTGTTTTATTGAACCGCAAACGAATTTCGTGAAATGTTATTTTATTTAATAATGATTAATGTGATTAATAAAATAATCGACTTTGTTAAGTTTTTGATCGGTTTACAAAAGGAGAATTACAAAATTCTGTTTTATTTTCTGTTTTTTTAAGAAAACTTTACTCTCTATTTCTTTCTGTATTACTTTTATCAAATCAAGTTTTACATTCCTCTCTGTGTATTACTTTTCCATCAAATCAAGTCTTACATTCACAGAAGTAATTGAATATCGTTTTTTTTTGGATGATCATTAAAAAATTAAATTTCAGACACACGATACATTGTGTGCATAAAATATAAAAATATAAATTCTGACCTATCGATTCGATATTAAATAATAAAATGTCAGTACGATAACATAACTTTACGTAGTAATCAGGAATTTTAATGTTTTATATTTTAAACTTTACACTGGTAACAAGTTTGTGTTGTGAATAACTTGTACATTAAATATTAACGTGTAATAAAAATTTCTGATTACTATACAAAATTTCATTTATTTTGCTGATATTTTTTTTAAATATTAAAACTGTGAATTTTCAGAATTTTAAATTTTGCAATGAAACAAAATTTCCGATTATTATATAAAATTACGTCAACCTACTGACATTTTATTGAACCGTTGAATTAACACTTAGCATTTCTATTCTCTTAATTTTTATATCCGCGAAATTTAATATAACAAATAATTTTATCACGATCAACGACAAATGTCCAGTTACTTTTGTGTGAAGACTTGATTTGTTAAAAAAAAGCAATGTAGGAAGAAATAAAGTATAGTACTGGTTTTAATCTTCGATTGACAGAACAAATTCGCGTCGGAGCTAAAAAAAAATTGTTTTATTAAGTTCCCCATTGTTCTCGGGGAATAGTTGCGTAGTGAAAATACCGGAAAAAATATATGAACGATGAAAGAAATGTAGGAACGATAGTCTTTTTTTTCCCTGCCAGTACAATGCGCCCTTAATGAAAACGGATCGACAGGTGCTAACGCAGTAAATTACGTAAAAATACTGCGAATATCCGAGCTAAATCTTAACGACAGATTCCCTCGCCAATTAACGAGTTTTTCACGACTGACATGTCGAGGTACGGTACAGGTTTTCGCGTTACGAGTGATCGGGGGGAAAAAAAAAAACGAAGAACCTCCCTTTTCGCGAAACTAACTTTCCACAGGGAGTGAAATTAAATAACAAAACTTTCTCGTTCATTTAAATTCAAGAGGACTTATCTTTCTTTTATCAGATATTAAGTCTAAGCTTCATTATCGAGAGGTACTCGGCGTTGAATGTTAAAGAAGAACGCGGTCAACCGATCCTCGGCTGACCGCGTAAAGTCTCGTTTCGACTTTACCGCCGAACAAATCCGTGGTTTAATTTGTTCTAAAAAAAAAAGGATCTGCAGACGTGACGCAGGGGATCCGTAAATAGACACGGGAGCAGTCCTTCTCGTGATAGCTTATCATCCCGAGATCACGTCGGCGACAAGCGTGACAGTCCCGATGTCGCCTCTAGGCTCTTATTTTCGCGTCGAGGAAAACCACCTCTCGCAGGCTTGATTGTGTAAAGATTTCCCGGAGAATCTGAAAATACCGGTTGCATGTGTGACGACGAGAGAGAGAGAGAGAGAGAGAGAGAGAGAGAGAGAGAGAGAGAGAGAGAGAGAGAGAGAGAGAGACGAGAGAGAGAGAGAGAGAGAGAGAGAGAGAGAGCGAGAGAGAGAGAAAGAGAGAGGCGCACTCTCACCTTTATGACGGAATTCCACGCGCGTCGTTTCGCTGCAGAGCGCTCCGTGTCTCCGTCGATGAATCACTCTCCCCCCGTCGCCCCGAGAGTGGTCGGTATATTAATAAATAACGCGTGATTGTGCAACGTCAAAACAACAACGTAACGCGCTGTGGCCGGTCGGGAATGGAGTATTTCTCGTTGTTTTTACGCTTTTCGCTTCGCATTTTCTCGTCGGTGTTATCGGGCTCGTTCGAAATTCCGAATGTCCACGGGGGACGGCGCGCGCGTTAAATATTCCCTTTCGCGAACTATCCGTACTTGTACGTACGTACGTACGTACGTACGTCCTAGCAATGTGCGTGCGGTACACTGCGCAGGATTTTGCGGAGCCCCGAAACTCCGGGAGAGAGTGCGGGATTAAATTATTCACCGCTCGCAACTGCGGCGCGTCATTTGTAACGACGCGCGTGACGCGCGGTTCGAAAATACGGAGAAATATAAAATTATACCACCCTTCCCCCCTCCCCGTGGTATCGTGATTTTAATAAATTTTAATACATGCAATATTTAGTATCGTGCGATCAGTTAAAATATACATTCTTTTTTTTCGTCCGTATGCGCGATTTAACCGGTAATACTAGTATTAAGTGGTTTATTCTTGCATTGATATTATTCAACATTTGTTCTAACATTTAAATTTTATTATTCCAAAAATATTCTTTGAAATTATTCGAAATTTATAAAGATTTTAAAAATGTAGCTATGTAATTGTAACTGTGGATTAATTCGAGGATTTGGAATTTATTATACGCATGATATTTATGTCCACTTTGCTGTAGGACAGCAAAGGTTAATCATTAATTAGGTCACTTAGTCAATTACAGAAAGATTGGAAATGTTGTTTATTTTCCGAATTAATGCATTCATCTAGATATAATAATTAATAATCTAAACATATTTACATAAAATGTAACAAATGTCAGGATACCATTTCACGATTTTTCACATTAAAGTGTATACCGTTAAAGTGTATTTTCTTTATTATGATTTTAGTATTGTTTTAATTGTGTTGCTTTAAATATAAAAAAAAAAGATTTGACGAGTTAAGCGAAGGTTCTCATTCTCAAGAAATATTAGAGGTATTAATCGATAATATGTATCTTATCTCGGCAAGAATATCTGAAAATTTAAATCTCGGTCATCACGGTGAATAAAGTTTGTTCGGATAACATCTGAAAGCTGCCCGTATTAAACGTTCATTAAGACATTATGAATGTATAAACGTACCGGCTGATCGCATCCCAGCGTGGGAATTATTAACTCCATTTTTCGGGCGTCTCTTCTTCAATTTGTAGAACGATCGTCGTGAAAGAGTAAAATCTTCCGTTTTGTCGACACGAGAAAAAGCCACCTCCTTTATCTCGTTTACTTAATTGCATACCAGTGTTTCCTTATTCTACTCGACGGAAAAGGAATTGTAGCCGCTCATAAGGAGCTAATTGAACGTTTAGTTCATGCAATATCTCGCGATTCTCTTACCCTGAGAGAAAAAAGTTTACTTTAATTCAGAAAGTGTATTACTCTCAAAATTAGTAATAAAAGAAGAAACGTTAAACTCGATGATTACGATAATTACAAGGTAAATCAATTCCAATACGTTTACAAACCACACGTTTACAATTGGATACAATCATTATATTTTTTACAATTTTTTAAAAATTATTATTTATGATTATGGAGCTTTACTGGTCTAAACTAATTAAAGTTAATTCTGTCGACTGGAGCGAACAGACTTTTACCGATAATTCGTCACGCCTTTCCCGTGTTTAATTTTATGGTTGTACTACTTGTCCCCGGCGTTATGTATCATCTGCCGGGCGAATCGTTGACTTTCGTCACTGACAAGCTCACCGGGATCATGTCCTCCCTCTTTTCACCCTCCAGACATAGAATATTGACATGTGCTGAAAGCGGATGCATTGTCCGACCCGTGTCAGGAGGTACGATGACACATGTGAGATAGATTTTACGGCGCAGCTATATATATAACGAATCTCGCGTACAGCGTGACGTTTGAGAATAACAGAATAAAAACGTATTTACTTTAAACAAGTAAAACATAACCGAGCTACGTTCCACCGAAAGAGTCCCGCGATCTCCTGTGTACATTCAGCCCAATTGCGTACCGTACGTTACTTGTGTCGTCAACAAGCGTCGTGAAATATTTACGCGGCACCAACCGCAACCTCCGAGTCTACCCAATATTTCATGTCGCGCCAGGCGCTCTTCGGGAATGATGTTCTTTACGTGGATATTAACTTACGGTGTTCTCGTAATGGCCTCGTCAACGCGCGTCTCGCAATTATTTTGCAGAATAAGCGCGCGACGGTGTGTGACAAATGATGATACAAACAACGTCACTTCACGACGTTCCAGCGCGATATGTTTAACAGCGATCCCGCAATTACGTTAATGTAGACGTCAGTCGTCGCCAAACGCTTTAAATTAAATCGTCGTTAGAGCGTGTGCTCGCTCGAGTGTCTCAAAACAAATGAACTAGATACGCCCACTTGGCGATCTCGCTAATCTCTATAGTCGATTGTGCGTACAATGTGAGCCCGCAGAGATTTTTATTTCTACTTCTTTTTCCGTACTATTCCTGATAATTCGTCCTTGGCAATCATCAATTTTGCCTTTATTATATTAACAAAATTGATGACTGTCAGGGACTAATTATCCATTCTGCCACTCAGTTG